AAACATAACGAATAAAAGGTCATCAATTTTGGCCATGTACTATTTTATTAAATTGCAATCTTTACTTTTTAAATTTAATAAATAAAATTAAATATAAGAATTACATTTTTTAAATAAGCAAAATTGTGAATTTAATATTTGTCGATGTATTACATTTTGATTGTTATTGACGTAATCACCACATCGTCGGTAAAGTGTGATACATCTTAATTTTTTTCATTTTTGTAGAGCATATTTTCAACTTAAGCGAAGCCATTTCTTTCGCGGCCAAACACAGTGTTTACTCTATATGCTGCATTTCTTTTACGCTAAATAAAATGTTTACTACTAACAAGCCTCTTATCTCTCTTCTTTCTATGGTGACCCGTTGTGTAGCGATCAAACCTCTCCTCTATCACTGGTAGCGGGGTTCAAATTCCGATCAATACAAGTAGAATTTGTTGTAGTCAAAGCGCATTCGCAGAAGGTTTTGTCGGCGTTCTTCCTTTTCCCCGTTTTTCACCGTTGCTCCATCACCATTCACATCACATCTTCACAATCACCTACCAATCAAAATCATTCCTCCGTTTCCAGGTATGGACTTTAAGCGTTGGCACGGGTATAGTAAAGAATGAATGGATTGTTCAGATTTATTCACTTAACTCGGAAGTGATGTGTTTTGCAACGTGTCTCTTTTCTTATGCGCCGACGACATATGGAATACAACAACCAGGATAAGCCCTGCCTTTCCCTCAATTGAACTCGCAGGTCCCCACCGGCGAGGGCTGCGCTTGCGTCAGTCGCTCTCGTGCAGTCCCTCGTTGGCCTCCTGGCTGCTGAATCGGCGCTCGCCCATGGCTTCCCGAGAGCTCCTTCTGGGGATCGATGGCCACTGACTTAATTTGGCCTCTAAATAATAATGAGCGACTGCGTTTTAAAGGGAATTTCTTTCTTTAACGCTTTTCGGAACGCGGAATTATTTATAGCGTTCTTGATGTCTGTGTTGTGGACGCGAGGTTACGTGATTTTAATTTTTGCTTTACTCCTCTTTTTTTAGTAACATTTCTCTCTTTATTTCTTTTAGGAAAAGGTGGTGAAAACATTGGATATTGTCAAAACATTGCAAAAAGTTACGACAGTATCAAGCTCACTGTAACGTATGAATACGGGTAGTGTGGCCGAACTAAAATTTTCTGCATCCTGATACTTGAAAATACTATTTTTTTTCCAATTCCTGTCTCAAAATGTTTCAGTTTCTCTTCCATAACAATTATTTGAAAAAAAAAAGTAATTTTATAAATAATAATAGCTTAAAAATGTGTAAAATTGTTATAGTGTATGTTAATTAATAATCAGTTCCTGTAATCTAAATATGATTCTTTCAGTATATGATGATTCAGTGCATTAAGAGTCTACTAAAGCATTTTACAAAATGGTCAAATATCGAAGACACTTATGGTTGCATTCTTGTTAACGTTATGCACTGGCACTATCTTGAGATGGAGCAGGTGAAAAAAATTGAGAAGTCTGAAAGTCAGTTTCGATTGAGAAGATAATATTTTATTTTTATTTGTTTATGTTTTGGCGATCTATTCATTATAAAAATTACACAACAAATCCTATATAACGTAGCTGAATGTCCTTTAAGTCATTACAAAACTGATTCCATTTCCATCCTCGCCATCGGTCATTTTTTCCCTGGTTTTTATAAGCCAGGAAAAAGGGACAATGGCGAGAAAAAATTCTTGACCTTCGACTAGAAAATCACTGCCGAGAGACATATATTGTAACTAAACCCAAACTCAGCTTTGTACTAATTAATAATTGCAGGTGTAGTCGTTGCATCGTGTAGTTTCATGAATTATTTATGCTCCCTCTTTCCATAACTTCATACAATATACAACGAAACGAAATAGGACAACAGCAACTTGCCGACAAACTACATATTTACTTATCACTGCGTCAAATTCACACACACACACACACACAACACACAAAGACTCATATTTAGACTCAAATTGTAGCAAGAGTTAGGTTCAGTTTTGTTTACAGTCAACGAGTTCAAATTAGTTAATCATCCTTTCTCTATAGACCTAACCTTTCGTAAGATTTGACCTAATTTTACCTTATTCTCTTTATATTTACCACCCGAGCAACTTGGTTCATTAGTGACAAACGTGAATTCTCCAAGTGCACAGCAATTTATGAGAATGTGCATTCACGCTTCTCCGTCCACACAAATTACAAAATTACATTGTCATTTGAATGTTTCCATCAGAGTTGCAGCCATTCTCCGAACATGAACCACACGTAACCCCCTCTTACGTCTCTCTCTATTGTGTGGTCGTAACGTTCGCAGCTCTGTTTTATATTACTACCTACACCTCGACTAGAAAACACCACTTCGTGAAACTAATCAAAGGCTATAAATCGTTAGTAAACTGTGGAAGTTACCCGACCGTGGCTGGAGGATATCATGTAGGTTTATCGCTGGAATGCATCGGTCGAACGAGGGTTGACCTGGAAAGCGAAACGGCCTCGCAGGCTGTCTCGTGACTGACGGCGCCGTGGAACTATGTCGGCTAGCCACAACGCCGGCCGACTCGCACAATTATGCGCAGCTTAAATCTTTATTGCCGCGTTTTATTCTTCTACTCGTAGATCGAGCAACGCCAACCTACGGCACGCGTGACTGGCAGGGAACGACGTACGAGATGCAGTGGCACGCAGAGTAATTTTGGTTTTAGAAAAATTGAATTCATTTCCCATTAAAAACGTTTGCTTTGCTAAATTGTACTTTTTGTTTTTGTGAAGAGCGGCTGGACCGGCGGCGATGGTAGATGCAGCATTGCCATTGAATCTGCAACGTTGCTGACCGAGAGGTACTTGGGTTCGATTCGCGACGGTGGCAGAGTTTCGAGACTACTCACAAACTCAACCACTGGATGCGAATCCTAGTGAATGGCTGTTCTCATCGATAGTTTTTTCGTGGTTTCTCCGATCAATGCATTCTTGGCTATCCGGGATGAGCCGCGTCTCGGTCAATTGTAGCTTCAGAGCTATACTGTCTCCGATCAATACCTGTCGAATGCCGCAACAAATGGGCCACGGTCCGCGATCTTTCCTTCGTCGTCCTTAGCTTAATAGTAGTCCTTAGCTTAGCCTCTTAATCACACACATATACGCATACTTACATGTACTACGGGTACACTACCTCACGTGTCTGGAAACCAGTCTAGAGCATAGAGCTAGTTCCGACAGGGGCGGTTTCCCGTTGGGGGATACCTGGATGGGAACTCCCGCAAGCCGACGTCTAGATCACCATGAAATTTCATGTTTCAGCGGGGAAGGAACACCGCCTCCCTCAGGATATGACTTATACTACACTTACGGAACTAAATACCATAGTAGTTGGCGCGCCTGGAAACACAAAATAATTGATCAACCAATCAAAAAAACTTAAAATACACCTGACACGGCGACAGAATAGGGCTGAATAAAATGCGATTTTAAAATTCCAATGAAAAACCTATTAATTCTCTTCCAAATGCACTGCTATATCATTAAACTAAATACCAACTAGGGAAGAAAAGTAAGTTATATTTAAAATTGGAACATTACAATTGAAAGATGTCTATTTAAATTTAAACCTTGTTTAAAACTTGAAGTTCTTGCAATTGCAAATCGCTCACGCCCTTATTATCGAGGGTATGCGCTGATTTTGGTCTTCCAGTATTTTTTGTGTGAGAGTCTAAAGACTCTCCAAAGCTCTCAACCCTTTATTTAACGTCTAGACTGAAAACTGCTTAAGTGGATGTGAACGATGGATGCGAAAAATACGACGCACATGTTCGTAAGTATTATTGTTTGGATAAAATGCTGTGTCAATGTACATATGTTGTCGACTAGTTCATTCCTTCGTAACTAAATGCAAACATGCATAGAACGCTGCACACAAATTTATGACTCCCTCCCTTCAATTCAACGATATTACTGTCGTTTTAAAAACCTTCCCTTTATCTGCCCCAATCCTTCCCACTACTAGTAGATTTATTGTCCTGACGCTGTTGCCTATGAATTCAGAAAATACCTCACACAAATTCCTCGCATCCTGAATGCTCAACTTTTATATATTTCTTGCTAATTATTTATTTACAAACCCAGAGTTCCGTTTGTGTGAATCCTTTGAGTCACAGCAATGGGACGCAGAGGGGGGGGGGGCATCATCAAAGGGGAAAGCGATGCGGAATGCGCTCAGGTCCGCGTGTTTGTGTGGGCGTGTGTGAGAGAGAGATAGAGAATGAAATAGAAAGAGGAAGGGTGGAGAGTGACGGGAAAATATACAGAAATACTGGCAGAGCGGAAAAACAGAAGATAGAGCGAAAGAGGGAAAGAGAGAAGGCCGTGAAAGAGCGTGGGAAGCAGGAGGAGGAGAGTGGGGGAAAAAACGGGGTAATAGGACGAGAGATTGAAGGAGGAAAGAAGGGTGATTTAGGGAGAGAAATAATAAGGGTCTACAGGAGGGAGAGGGCTTGAAGAAAATGAACATGGGTGAGAGAGGGAAGGAAAAATAAAGTGAACTAGCCAGGGAAAGAAGTACAAGGAAGGAAGGAAGGCAGACGCAAAAGGGTGTACGCGCGAAAGAGAGGTTGAGAGAAGAGTGGGAACTTGGGTACACTTGTTCGGGAGGGGAGACTGTGAAGAGCGGAGGAAAGCGAGAGGGGAAGAAGGAAGAGAGAACGCGAAGGCGGGAGAAAGGGCGATAACTAGCGAGCGGGGGTGGGGAGAGCCGCTGCCATCGCCGCCCGTGGCGTGCCCGTGCGTGCCCACAGGCGCCGCCGCCGGTCATCGCGTGGAACCTGGCACCGA